TTATAATTACCTTCGTTCCATCGATCTTCATGACCAAAGTCCATCCTCCAGATCCACACACAGGGATGGGATCCATCATACAATATGTCATGGACCAATTGGTGCTTGTACCGAACGTTAGGTTATATGCCTTGTTTCCATTTGACCTGATAACAAGACAAAGGATTTAAGTTTTAGAGTTGATTTGACGCCTGGGAGTGGCAAGGCAAGGCAAGGCAAGGCAAGGCAAGGCAAATTCATTATTAAGAAAGAAAACCTTACCTTCCACTGTCGTAAATAGTTTTACAGCTTGAACGTTCTGAAAACGAATAAATAAAAATCATTATCTAAAACCCTCTGTTAAAAATCATTTTCTAGTTCAGTTGTGAAATCAAAGAGTGCAGTATAGGATAAAGTAATATTTATTTTTATTTGTTTTTAAAAGTCGGTAAGGTTTTTTGTGAATTGGTGTTTTAAAATTTTCGTTGTGGGATACGTATTTTTTTTATTGAACTTTTCTTTATSTATTATTCATGTTCATTATATTGTGAGATCTAGATATAGTTAAAAAGACTTCACATCATCCCGGGTAAATTGGATTTTATGATATATCCGCAGTCTACATCTTTCTTTTCTCTTTTCTTTCTTCTTTAATTTTCAGTGCTATATAATTATGTTTCGCACACATATATATTCATATGATATTTTGTTACCTTTAATCATTTTAATGCGTTCGTCATATTTCTTGATTTCGTCATTCTTAAAAATTGAACAATTTTTGTTTTATTAGATGGATAACAATGAAATGCTGTATCTCTTCTCTTCTCTTCTCTTCTCTTCTCTTCTCTTCTCTTCTCTTCTCTTCTCTTACATTTGATGAATCTCAAAATTCAAATTACTTACATCGCCAAGGTAGATGTATCCTGTTTGTTCAACCAGTGACAACATCACACTCTCCGGTTTTTTCCTTAACAACTGGCAGAATTTTGAAACCCTGTTAAAGTTAGCATCCTCACAGTCTTTRTTAGCAGTGCACTGGTAGGCACATTTAGCTACACTACTGACAACTACCTTCTGTAGAATTTCACGACCATCTGCCTTGTGATCGTCTTTGTACTTAAAGGATTTGACTCGTATATTAGCGTCGGTAAAACCCACGATAAAGAACACGGAAAGAAAGCAGAATACAAGATGCATTCTCTGAAAACAGCCTGAAACCTTAGTTTAAAAGCAAACTGAATTTGAATCTTTTCGTATCTTTAAAAAATCGTAAACAACTCAGTTCGATCCTGGCTGCTTAGTTATGACTCGATTGTTAGAGGCCAAAGCATTATATACAGAACTTCTTTTGTACACAGGTAATGTTAACACAGTAAGTGTAACTAAGCTACAATTGAATGTTTTTTCTGAATTGCTTGGCAATGAAGAAAATTATTTTCAAATAATTGAAAATCCAATTAAAATTGTTTTGRACACCAACATCTGTTCAATAACTTTCTTCTAGTCTATTCTTAATTTATTATCCAAAGTTGGTATACGGGATGTTTTTAAAATCGAATTAAAGTATTTACTTATTTCAAGTCTATAAAGTTTTTTATTAACTTTATATTAACTGGTTTGTTTTAAGGTTTTGGCAAAATTTAAAGAAACTCTTAATGAACTCTTCTTAAAATTGTTCGGCAGACCTTGAATGCGAGGCTAACATGAAAATTCGAAAGAAACCTCAAATTCCATGAGAAAAGAAAGTGATTTGTTTAGTATTGCAATGTTAGCATTGCATTCAAGACAATTTTGAGAAGATCCTATTGAACGTTGTAAAAATATTTTTATTTTTCTCTTTTTTAAGCCAGCGAAGTTCACAAAAAAAGTTCACAAAACTATTGAATTACATTTTCTCCAAGATCGTTCAGCTGCGATGAAAATAAATAATACTGAATAGCTGTAGTTTTCAATTATTTCCCTTCCCGCCCAGGCCGCCCCCTTCTTTGTACAACTTMACTTTAAATTAGTCTGTCGAAGATAAAATTTTTAAAAAAATGGTTGACATTGGCATTGCTCCTGACCGCCCGTGAGTCTGTCACTAAGGTCACTGGTAAATTCAATCAGGAACGAAGAGCGCTTCTCTAGGAAGTCTCAAAATTATTGGAATAAAATAATTGCTCCAGAATTCTCAAATTCAATGATTTATTTGAATAAAGAATACATTTATTATCTTTTCGTTTTACGGTTT